GACTTTTGCATTTTTCTACACGATTGGGTTGCATGTACTTGTGTTCACCTGCCTCTACCGAATGTCGGCTTTGAGCTATCTCAGGTATTTTCTGGTTCTGTTTCTTTTCAAGCAGTTTCGATGGTTAATTTTCTCACTGGTTGAAATTTTTCTGTTTTTGCAGCAATGGTCAGGAGGATGTAATTATTGGAGATAAACAACTAAACCTCCCACATGCGATCTAGGATCGAAGACCATTTCAGCCCTACACATGAAAAAGTATGTATATAACAAAAATGACGTCCATTGACCAGGAAAATAAAAGTTGGTGTATACTTAATGTATTTACGGGTTTACTATATTTGATATTTTAATGGTAAGTTTTATCTTTACATTTTGTACCACGGAAGATAATTGATTTTTAATGCCGATGAGAAGGTGGACTTGTCTCCCTGCAATCATATTACCAGATGAGATTATTGTTATTCTTCAGAGCACTGGTAAAACATGCAGCATGAGTTTTTCACTTTTAAGGACGTCCGCGCTGTATCAAATGACGGATTAGCAATAACTTGTGGATAACAAATGTTTGTTGCCAGATTTTTGACGTTAAATTGCTAGCCCTCGACTGAAAAACTGTAGTTTGGGTTTTTTTTTCTTGCAAAATAAAGTGAGTTGAGCCACATGGATGTTGTTAACCTATTATTAGGTTAAGTTCATTCTCTCTCTAAGAGCAAGTTTACCCTTAAAAATGAGTTGGTCCACAGATCATTAGTAATCACCTCAAATGAATAGTTATGACTGATTGAAACAGAAATTGATCAAGTGCATTTTATTCCTAAAAAATGACCTGATCCAAAGTTTGGGTCAGTTGTATTAAAATATTTTTATAAAATAATTTTATTTTTAATTTCAGATAAAATTTTTAATCAATCTTGTCACAGGACGTGTTATTTCTGAAGTACAATTTTGTAGAAGATGGTTAGTATATTATATATAAATCGTTTATTTTTTTTTCTGTATTTTTAAATATATTTTATAATTTTTTTATTAAGTTAATAATCTAGATCGTGGATTTCATAAAGGTTGAAATCCAACATCCCAAAAGTGGACACGCAGCCCATCGTGATTCTGACATTTTTTTTAAAGTCTTGAACGCGTACCCACGTACCAACCCCCCCCCCCCCCCACAAAAAGAAAAAAAAAAAAAAAAAAGAAAGGAATCAGTTGTGGCTGATGTCAACATGATGTGAAATAGGCCGGTTCCTCACTCAACCTATTCTGGGCCGGCCTAGAGACTAGGGTGGACTTGGAGCAGGTCTATTTTGTGGGATGGAGTAGGCTTTTGGGGTGCCATCATATTTTTTTAGACTTTGGGCTAGCCTCCAGAAAAGAGGTGGACTTGCTTTTAATGTAGATAACATTGTTTACCCGCAATGCCAGAGACTTATCTTTGTATAGGCCAAATTAATTTTCAAAGAGTAGTAAGAAATGGAACTGCTTTTCTACAAATGACAGTTTTTAGACAAATTCATAGCTCTAAGTTTAGGGCCTCAGACTTTACGAAATCTTGGAAAGATCTCAAGTTCAGTAGCCAACTTTTTTTTAGACTTTGGAGTGTAGACACCAATTGTAACAACCCGTCTCTAATTTTATAATTTTAATGGTGAGAATTGATAAAAATGCCCCTTGAGGCGAGATACTTGACTTTCGTTAATCGTTATTTTGTGATATGTATGAGCTACTATTTTACTGTATTTGTATAGTACTCGTCGCTACGAATGCGTGGATGCAAGCATAATTGAATTTGGAGTTACGATAAAGATTTTATGAAACTACAAAGCAGAAGGGTATTTTAGTAACTTCACTATTCTAGATATTCTCGGTCCGCGTGTCACATCCTTCCCCACTCTTTGGGATTCCCTCATCTCTCATTTCACTCTCCCTCTTAGCTCCCTCTCGCCTCTCTCTTTGTCTCCCTACAAATGCAGAGAAACAATCAACGTCTTCTATCACCACAACAACTCCCAGGCAAACCACAACAAACCACCATAATCAATGTCATCTATGCTCTAAATACTTGTGTATTATGGGTTCTTCCCACTATTGCACACTCTCTTATTAGCTTAAATAAATTCTGACTTCGATTTAAGTTTATTCATATTTTTACACATCACCTACACTTTAGCTACATCACCTTCGGGTGTTGCCCAGCATGTCTCGACTCCGGTCGGGGTGTGTCAACTTTAATATCCCAAAAAGTAGAGGGCTTGCCACTAAAGTTTGTTGAGTGACATTACAATTCAGTCAAAATTTGCCACATGGTAAGTTTAAATATTCTACCTTTTTTTTTTTGAAGAAGAAGAGTACGATATTCATTGACCAAAGGTGATTTTCCATTGTTTGAAGTCCTGCAGAAGCAGCCTCGTATCGTCGAACATATAACCATAATGACCATTAAATGCTGCACCTGCATTTTTAATGGCAAAAATCACCAACAATGCATCCCCTTCTACCTGAACCTGCTTCATGACCCATCTGCGCAAGAACAAAGTTGCCGCCTTAGCAGCCGCTGCCTCTGCATAAGCACCGATCGCACGACCACCATTCTGCTTACCTATGTTACCAAAACTTGCCCTCCGAGCTTTTCACTACCAACCCACAGCCTCTAATTGACCTTTGCTCATCCCATGATGCATCAAAATTACATTTTATCCAACCATGGGCCGACAACTACCATTTAGTTGTTCTTGCCGAAGAGTTATGCAGTGCCCTTGCATTCCATTTTTTAAACTCAGCCAACCATGTTTGTGCCTTGATTTGGATATCCAAAGGAGAAACCTCAACACCATTCCATGAACTCAACCCTTCCAAATACTCCAAACAAGAACAAGAAGCAAATCAAAGCTTTCCTTGGACACATTTTGCGCCATATACTCCAACCTACGACCAAAGCCTTCCTTAATTAGATGTAAAGAACGGATGCCCAATGGACTTCCAAACCACACCGCTGCCCCTCTAGGACACAGAAGAGCATGTTCAACAGTCTCTACCTCTTTATCACAAAAACCACAAGTCTCGTCCATAATTGCCCGTCTGCTCTTCAGATTAACTTTGGAAGGCAAAGCATTCATATAACCATGCCATACGCAAATTTTCACTTTCCCCGGGACCTTAGCTCGCCACAAAGCTTTCCATAAGAATCTTGTATCACCATTAATCACCGATCCCATAGGCTCATCACCACTCATTCCTGAACCCGATCGAGCCACAAAGTACGCATTCTTCGTAGTGAACAAGCCCTTAGGTTCCTTTGTCCAAATCAACTAATCCGCACGGTAGAATAAACTCAAGGGTATACTCAAAATCAAATCCGCTTCCTCCTCCAAGAACCAACTACAAACTAAAGTTGAATTCCATCGAACCCCATCATCCTCCACCATCAATGATCTCACCGTGAACTCCGGGTACACCTCCACCGGTCTAGGGCTAAGAACTTTGAAGAAGTGTTCTCGTGGCAACTAGTTATCCCCCAAATATGGATTCGTAAACCATCCCCCACCCTCCATCATGCATCACATAAATAATATGCCTAGATGCCGCCACATTACGCCAACAATAGGACGAATTAAGTTTAACTGGAGCCTGTAAGAACTCAGAAGTAGGATAATACAGGGCTTTGAAAATTCTTGCCATAAGAGAGTTCGATTACTGTAGTAATCTCCACCCTTGCTTCGCAAGCAAAGCAAGGTTGAATGCATATAAATCTTTAAACCCCAAACCCCCTTCACTTTTCGGCTTACACAACCTTTGCCATTTAACCCAATGTATTCTCTGTTTTCCACCTTCTCTTGCCCACCAAAACTGGGCCACCATTTGGTTTAGCTCATCACAAAAAGACTTAGGTAGGAAGAATGTGTGCATCGTATACAATGGCATTGCCTAAGCAACCGATTTAATCAAAATCTCTTTACCTGCGCTATTCAACAAAGAACCACGCCAACCGTGCAACTTTTTCCACAACTGATCTTTAATATAAACAAATGTTTCTATCTTGGACCTACCAATAAACACCTATAGTCCAAGATATCAGTCGTGATACTCCACCCATTTCATCCCTAGACAATCGACCAACATTGTGCATCCAACTCCGTAAGGTTCCTACTAAATGCAACACTACTTTTAGAAAGATTAACTGCTTGCCCAGACGCCTTTTCATATGTGCGTAATAACTCCTGGCAAAAATAAAGCTATTATCTGCAAATAACAAATGATGAACACTTGGAGCCCCTTTACATACCTGGGCCCACTGAATACGGCCTTGTGCTTCCCAAGAATCAAATAATGTCGATAATCCCTCCACACATAAGACAAATAGAAAGGGTGAGAGGGGATCTCCTTGACGAATTTCCCGTTTTGGATACACTAACCCCACAGGCTCCCCATTCAATTTGAACGAATAAGAAACCGTAGACACACACATCATTATACATTGTATCCATTCCTTCGCGAAACCCAACCTTCTCATAATATGCTCCAAAACTCCATTCAATACGATCATAGGCTTTATTGATATCTAACTTCAACGCCATCACCCCATTCTACCCATTATTCTTCCTATGCATATAATGAGCAATCTCGAAGGCTACCAAACAATTATCAGAAATTAGCCTTCCCAGTAGAAAGGCAATTTGCGATGGTGATATAATTTCCAGAAGAATGGCCTTCAGACGGTTAGTAAGAACCTTTGAGCATATCTTATAAATCACATTACAAAGACTAATCGGCCTAAGTTCAGTCATCGCTAAGGGATCCACTTTCTTCGGAATCAAAGTGACATGGGAATAATTGATTTTATTAAGCATATGACCCAATGAAAGAATATGCCTTACCCCATCACACACATCTTGGCCGACCATCTCCCAATGCTTCTAACAAAAACCCGGTGATATACCGCCAGGGCCCGGAGCTTTAGTTGGATGCATTTGAAACAAAGCCCCTTTAATTTCCTCATTGGAAATCTATCGAAAAAGCTCCTGGTTCATCACATCCGTGACTTTGGGTGTGACCACCCACATGATTTCCGACACATCTGTCGCACCCTGAGAATTAAACAATTTCGTGAAGTAATCAACAATCACCATCTCCATGCCCCTCTTGTCCGCATGCCACACCCCTGCCTCATCAAACAACCTCAACAAAGAATTCCTACATTGTCTTCGATTAGCCTTCTGGTGAAAAAAAATATGTATTTTGATCCCAAGCTTTAACCAATTTTCCTTGGACCTTTGCCTCCAGAATGCTTCTTCCTGTGCTAATAGAGCTTGCAACCGAGTGTTCAATTCATGCCATTGTGCAATAGTGGTTTCAATAAAGGGCTTCCCAATAAAGCATTCAACTTATCTTCCGTTTTTGAGATTTCCCCCAGAATTGATCTTTTTGTTGTTTTTGCCCAATTAGCCAACTGTAATGTTGTCACCTTAATCTTCTTCGTGACTCGATACATTGGTGAACCATGGAACTCTGTTGCCTAACTTGTTGTACCGTCGCTATATAGCCCTCCTCCATCGTTTTTTTTAGCATGATTTGAGGTACGAGTACGTATAATATTTTCTGGAAAGTATACGGGTTTTACAAAGAGGGGTTATTATTTGATACTGAAATGGTTTGAAAACAACTTTGTTTTTGCCCACTCACGTTTTCTGTTTTGCGCTCCTCCAGGTTTTAGGTAGCGAGGACGTGGGTGACGAAAGAGGCATCGAGGCAGTTCTGACAGAGCACCCTCCATGTAGGATTTTCTAGTTATCTTGTGTAGTGTTTGTTTGTTCTGGACTGCACCTAGGATGCTTGAATTTCTACTTTGCATTTTCCTTCCGTGTTTGTCACTAGCACTCACTGATCTTTTTATTGTAAATTATATCGTCGACTTTATTTTTCACTCTTTTGCTTTCACATTGTGCACTTGGCTACGTCACCCTTACGTGATAACCAGCATGCCCCAATTCTTAGTTCAGGGTGTGTCATGCTTTTACATTTTTTAGACATGTACATTAATGATTATGAATTTTATTTAGTTTGAACTCCCTTAAAAATACTATTCATGAGGGTTTATATGGTTTTAAAAATTCAAACGACGATGTACCCATACTCATAGCATAAAGAATGCGATCACGAGCTTTTGCATATTTTTTTTTTCACATTTTTTGCACTTGTAAATTAATTATCATAATTTTTTAATGTGTTTGGTTTTAAATTACTTGATACTTCTATTTTTAATGTGTTTTATAATTTTTTAATCTCATTCTTTGCCTATAGTATACTATAAAAATAAATAAATAAATAAACTTAAATTTTTTAAATTTATATAGAATAATAGTACATATTTAATCTACATTGTATACATATACACTATGACTATTGTATTTTATAGTAAGTTTTTTTAGTAGCTTAAAAAAATTAAAATCATCAAAATAAATTTTTTTTAATGTGTCGAAACAATTTACTCACGTGTCACCTTCGTGTAAACCTGTTAAGGACCTGTTATTAACGGGTTCTTATCATGTGAGCCGATAACGACTCCATTAGTTGTTGTATTGACCTGGAACTCGTTAGTTTCGTGTCATGTAAGAAATTGGCAGGTCTAAAAAGGCTCCAAAACTTTGAATTTTAACCAAAAACTATCATATAACTCTATTTAATGATAAGAACAAGGAAAAAAAAACTTATTGGCGCACGTGCAACTCAATGGGTAGAAGGCCGCTGCCTTTGATCCCAGCAAGGAGCTGCTCAATGAGCACTCAGAGGTACTTACATCAATTTCTTCAAACATTGGGGTTTTCTGGGTTTTCACCCACTTCAATTTTGTATTTTTTTTCTTCTGTTTTTATGTTTTTAGTAATTTTTTTGGTATCTTTTCATTAAAGCTCTCATAACGTTATTTAATGTTTTATTTCAAAAAATAAAAAGAAATAAAATAAAAAAATAAAAAGAAAAGTTCGAAAAAATGGTGATGACCGATGATTGGATGATTGCTTAAAGTTTTGAATCCCTTTTTGTTACTGATTGACCACTCCAAATGATCCATCGTCTACTCATCAGTCATCACCCTTTTCATTTTGGTTAGAATTCAAACTGTTGTTATTGTCTTTTTTTTTTTTTATTTTTTTTATTTTTTAAATTCATTTATTTTTAAATCATACATTTTTCAAGTTCTTGTTTTCTAAATTGATAATAGAAGAAAATTCAGTATGGTGTAGAAAGCTAAGAAATTGAATAGATTCAGAGAAAATTCAATTCTCCAATGAGCAGGGGGTGTAGAGTCGATGTCGACCAACAAGTTGCGATGGTTGTTGGGTTGAGATAGATTTTAATGTGAATTACAAAGCTCTACAACTTTGTAGCAAGAGTTGGGTTTGATTTGGGTATCTCATGAAGAGAAAGTGGAAAAGAAAGGAAGGACGACTATCTCATCAAGAACGCCACCGGCATGGACATCACCACCATCATCACCATCATGAAAGTGGTTGTTACTTAGGGGATGCAGCATCGAAGAATGCACTATTTCTAAAACTGAACCAAAAAGTGGACCAAGAAAGAGATTAGTTATGAAACTGGACCTAGAAAGAGACACCATTTATGAAACTGAGCGAAGAAAGATACACTATTTATGAAACTGGACCGATGAAACTGAACGAAGAAAGATACACTATTTATGAAACTGAACCAAGAAGGAGACACTATTTATGAAACTGGTCCAACTACTATACACTATTTATGAAAGTGGACCAAGAACTAAACACTATTTATGAAACATTCCCAAGAACTAGAAACTATATATGAAAGTGGACCAAGAACTAGGCACTATTTATAAAACTGGACCAAGAATGAGATACTATTTATGACACTGTGCCAACTCCTATACATTATTTATGAAATTGGACCCACTAACTAAACACTATTTATGAAAGTGAACTAAGAACTAGGCACTATTTATGAATCTAGACCAATAAATAGTGTAATACCGTTCAGTTTCATAAATAGTGTAGTAACGGTCAGTTTCATAAATAGTATAGTACCGTTCAATTTCATAAATTGTGTAGTACTGTTAAGTTTCATAAATAGTGTAGTACTGTTCAATTTCATAAACAGTGTCTGTGATGGACACGAGTAAGGTTTTTTTTTAAATTTTATATTAAAATTTTGTCATTTTCATTAAAATTGAAGTTCTTTTGTCCTCTTTATTAAAAATTAAGGTTTTTTTTTTTATATTAAAATTTAAGTTTTTTTCATTAAATAAAGTGATAGCATAGTCTTTTGTTAAAAAAAACTTAGCCCAATCCCTTTTTATGAAAGCTCCCTAAACAAAAGGCATCTACAATTCTAATATTTTATCAATAAATATGAATTGTTGTATCTACTTTGACTAACAACAAAATTGGATACCACAAAAATATTAAATAAAATTTTTGTTTCCTTTTCTTTCTTCTACCTTGACAAGCAAAGCCTGAAATTTCGAGCATGGGTGGATTTTCTCAATCAAGATACAGTTGAGGATTGGGATGATTTTAACTATATTTTTGAAATTGGATTTCTTTTTTCTTTTCATTTCGTGATAGTTGGAGAAGAGAAAAAAAAAATGAGAAGGAAGAGAAAAAAATATGAACGGCTAGATCAATCTCGTGGATAATATTAATTAGTAGAAAATATAATTATGAAAAATTTTAAATAGAAGAATATTTAAACTTACCATGTGGCAAATTTTGGCTAAATTGTAATGTCACCCAGCAAAATTCAGTGTCAAGCCGAGTCTGATAACTCATATATTTTATGCATTTATACCATCCATTTCTAGTATCTTTGTGATGTTTTTGAGTTAAACTGGTTGCATTTTACCCTATTTTGTGTTAGTGTGCAGTTACATGTACTTTATGATCAATTTGAGGGCAAAAGAAGTGACAACATGCCCATTTTGGAGTTGATCCTTATTCAAACGTGGAGAGAAGTTTACTAGCCTGTTTTGGAGCCCAAATAAAGTTGTTACTTGTTTTGAAGTCTAAATAAAGAATCCAAGATGAATCTGGCTTGTTAGAAGATCAGGAACAGAATGGGAAATGAATTGGGATATCTAGCCTGATTTGAAAGTGCCAAATAAGGCAAAAACGTGCAAAATAAAGGCTAAATTGCTGGGATCACTTTGGAATATCTTCCAGCCTTTTTTACCCCATAAAAACTTGCCTTTTAGCCACTTTTACATGCCCTATTTATTCTAGGCGAATTACACAATTCTGGGGACCTATTTTTCCTCTCTTTTCATTCACTCTTAAGTAAAACCCTAGTCGTTCCATACACTTCCACCACTACTGAAGACTCATCGCAGAAGGCTATTCTTGGAGAAGTTCTACATCATAATTGCTTTAAGGGTTTCCTCTCCTGAATTTATTTTCACTCATGTTCTGTATTTTTGTTTTAATTTATGTGAACATGATGTGTAACTAAGTTCATAGCTAAGGATTTCGATGTAGCCTTGCAAAATTGATCCATGTTTTTAAGTTAAAGTATTCAGTTTGTCAATCTGCTTCCTGTTTCATTCACTTAATCAATTGTTAAATTTGTTTGTTGATTTTAATGTTTGATCACCATTAGGGTTAACTACAGATCATTTAATCAAGATTAGAGTAAACATCATGCTTAATCTTGGTAGACATGTGAATGAATGAAGAGAATGCTATGCAAACATCCTGCCATGTATTTTCTTTGGTTCTTTAACGTTTTCTTGCATGCTAAAGACTCTTAATTAGGAACCGAAGTTGAACATCCCAATTAGGTTGTAGATTAGGAGAATTTGATCAAAACCACACATCATATGGCTGATCATATATATGTAAAACGAACTCAGGAAACAGGTTGGTCGTTGAATACGTCATAACTTTATAAACATGGAATTGGTTTTGTAATGGTGAATTCGAATCTCTGGCCTCATCTCCATTGCTTCTACATCAATATATTATTCGCTGCTACATTCCTGCATTTTAATTTAATTAAGTTTACAGCACAAAAACTACTCTCAATTTGTTACTTTCATTCTTTAGTTAGGGTTCTTTCA